TGTTTTGAAAATGGGAGAAATTTCTCCAAAAGTTCAGTTGGATCAAGATTTCTGGTAAGGATTCGAGGGCCTCCTGAGCTTAAGGGGCCCCGGGGCACTGCCCCGCCTAGCCCCTAGGTAGCTACGCTACTGGCTCTGGATCTTTACTAACCGCGCAATCAACAGAAGAATTAAGTTAGCATGGAGTACTTATGGAAGAAACTCAATCACATTCAAATCTAGAAGGCCACTTTATCTAAAGAAGAAAACATTCCACCAATGTGTACTACCAGTCATGACCTATGCATGCGAAACCTGGACACTTAAAACGAAGATTATAAGGAAACTGCAGGTCGCACAACGCTCAATGGAATGAAATATGCTGGGAATAACCAAGAAAGACCGTAAAAGAATAGAGTGGATACGACAAAAGACTCAGGTAATAAATGTCATCCATAGAATCAAATGCCTCAAATGGCAATGAGCAGGACACTTGGCAGGAAGGACGGACAACAGATGGACCACAAAAATTACAGCATGTTATCAACGAGCCCACGAGGAAGTAAGATACCTAGAAGAAGACCAAACCTTGGCACCGCTTTGCCAACAGTGGGCCTAACTACAAAAAGAGTATCTAAATATGTAAGGAAGTCTACACTATAATTGGAAATGGTTGAATAAGCTGAAAATGATGATGATGACTCTACTTTATCGGAAACCTCGTCAATCCCATCAGCTTTAGATGTCTATTCAACTTAAAATGCTCTGTTAGTAGACAACTATAGCTTTGACTGTCTTTCTGTATTTGCTTATGAGATCCTCAAAGTCCTAGTGAGTTTCTCCACCATTCTAGAGATCTTTTAGCAAACTATACTGGAGATTTGTTTTGCAACGCCGCAAAAACCTAATAATACATTTTTTGTAATGGGAGAAAAGATATTTTGCGAAACGACAAAGAGCATTTTTTCGCGGTAAAAATGTTTTTAATCCAATTAATTTTTCCATACTAATTGAGTGGAATAACTGAAGTTATCGCGAGCGTCGCTTGTTTATCCCGGCGCGATCAAAAATCGAACAACAAAATTCGCCGCCCGCTATAATAGCGTGATTTATAGATGGTAGATTGAAAATATGAAATTGCTGGCTCGCTGGACCGATTTTATGGTTTCAATTAAAAGATACGCCAATGGATAAATGGCCCTTCGTCATATATGATTCAATATTTCGACTGTTGATAGGGTGACCGCTTCTGTTACACCGTAAAAACAATTGTTTTAAAAGGGTCCCTGTCGTGCCTCATACCATCGCCCTTCCATATTATTCTGCTCTTCGTTTTGCTCAATGTTTTTCCAGTAGTTCGGTTTGCTATAATTAAATGTAATATTTTTTAGCTTTCAATTAATTCTTACACGAAATATATTTTAAAATAATTTCAGAATAACTAAAGTAATGTGTAACGAACTGGTAGACAGGAAAGACATTCTAATAAATAACATAACACTGGAAATAGTAAAAGAATATAGATATTTGGAACAACTATACAATGGTACAATGGTACAACTATACAGGGTCTATCGAGTAGAGTCTTAAATAAGTGCAAATACTTTTAGGGGTAGTATATTTCGACCAGAATCAGGATTATCTGGAATTTTTTGTAAACTATTTTTTTAGTTAAAAACCATAATTTCTTGATCATATGGCAACATATGTCATAGATTTAATTAACGAAGAAAGAAAATCCAGAAAAGAACCAGTGGTTCTCAAAATTTAAGCAAAAAATCTTTTTTTTTGGAAATTTTGAAACTAAAATAACTCGGGTAGGTATTTTGTATTTACTTGAAAAACTGTAAAGAGAAAATATGTTTCATTTATCGAGATCTACCAGCCCTGAAAATATCTGCACTTATTTAAGACTCACCCTGTATATGCGAAACCTGGACACTTAAAACGGACATTATAAGGAAACTGCAGGTCACACAACGCTCGATGGAACGAGATATGCTGGGAATAACAAAGAAAGACCGTAAAAAAATAGAGTAGATACGATAAAAGACCCAGGTAATTGTCATTCACAGAACCAAATCCCTCAAGTGGCAATGGACAGGACACCTGGCAAGGAGGACGGACAACAGATGGACGCCAAAAAAACACAGCATGGTACCATGGAATTAAGAGACCTAGAAGAAGACCAAACCTATGCTTGGACTATGATATTGGGAAATTAGCAGAAATGATTTAAGTCAAAGTTGAAATTCACTTAAGTTTTAAATCATTTTGATTTTAGAAATGACTTAAGATTCAAGTCTTTTTGAAAATGACTTGTTGCAGCTCTGCAAATGATGATTGAAGTATTTATCTAGTCTGTGCAACATAATAAGGATAAACAATGGATGTAAAAGTATGTAGTAAAAAATATGTAGAGCTGTAGTAATAAGGCCCAAAATAATATAGTAGGGCGAGTAAATATGATAAGTAAAATGACGGCGACTATGGCGATAAAATAAGAAGTTTAATTCCGGCGGAGTTAATGAGAGCGAGCCATAATAAAAAGCGATAAAACCCGGACGCGGAGAAGCGCCATCTCCAAATTGCGGTGGCACTTAAAACGAACATTTCATGAATGCGCAATCAAGATATTATTCGGTTAACGAGGACGCGAACACACAACAGACATAACCGGAGCTTGTAAGAGTGTGTTAGCGTTTTGATAAGCGAGATAGCGCGATACTAAACTGGATAATCTCTTGATCCCGTTATCTACAGATATAATTATTCCGACAGGGTGTCTTGCTTAAAACAGCTTGGCCGAAGGGGCGTTCCCACCCCAGGCCCTGGCTCCCCTTCGCTCTCTCCTTCTCGCTCTCGAGAGCAGCGTTGCTAGGTTACGCGCTCCGACGACCGCAGAAACACTTCGACAATGGTGATGCTTGTTCTACACGACACGCACAACACAGAAGCCCGATACGGAAGATGGATTGAGATGATAACGTGCTTTCGCTCGCTTCCGTTCTTCGTCTTCGCCACTGGAGCACAGGCGAATCGGGATAAGGATGGTGCGCCAGTATCGATATATCCAGGATCGTTCTGAACAACAATACTATCAAACACTTCTCGAAAACAAGATTCCTAATTAGAGCTTAGAAGTCCATTCTCCTTCATACGTTAGGACTAGGTGCTGTGTTTCCTTCAAGGGTTCCCTAGGAATAGTTGAGATGGTGAAGACCACCTAATAGATGGTCGTCCAGGCGGTCGAGGTGTGTTTGGTTGTTTCTCATTAGCAATTTTCGCTAACCGGTCATTTGGCATTCTGTCCACATGGTCTCTCCACTCTTTACTTCTGTTTCTTGCCCATCTTACTACCTGCATTTCACATATTTCTTCACTTCATATTACAGTTCTGTTGTTCCTAGGAGATTTATCTCCCCAAATTATATTACTTAAACATCCTGATATTAAGGATGCCTTTGTCATTTGGGCATTTACTTCTAATACTTGTTATATTTGCCCCCGGATATTTAAATGGCATCACTTGTTCTACACTCTGATCATAGAGCGCGAGTAATAGGTATATTGAAATATCGAAAGGATATAGATGCTATCGATCTTTTTTCCGGCAATCGACATCCCTAGATAAAAAGACTGGCTGGTTCGCTGACTTTGCTGAGCGTCGGTTTTTCATTTCGACATTGTTAAGACTTGTTTCCAGCTAAATTAATTTTACTACTTTATTAATATCCAGTTCGTCGTCTGTCTGCTTTCCGGATTTTGCGAGCTTTATAACAAGCGCTGAATGTTTATATCGATTTTGGATATTTCTTCCAGCAAATTTAACCACGCCAGAATACAGTTTTCCAACTACTATTTTTAAAAGTGATGCTTTCAGAATACATGATAGAATAAATGATATCAACAATGTTAAGACACATTAAAAATACTTCGTCTGTTAGAAGTAAATTTAGATCATATTATTTAGAAAAATTCGATTATGAAAATCGGCGATTTTCGTCAGGTTACCGATTATTATTAATTAAAAAGCGTAGAATAAAAAAATTTAGGCGATTCTATATTTTTACGCCTTACGCCTTACGCCTTACGTAACGGACGTAGGAGACGTTTTAACCATCATCAAAAATAGCTCAAAATAAGAGTCCAAAAATTTCCTACAAACGTTGAAATTTTCATAATTTTATAGCAATGATTAGTATTTTTCTAAGGCCTTTGAAAATGTGTAAAATATTGCCGAAAATGGGCAATACATATAGTCATGAAAATTGGCGATTTTTGTCATGTCACCGATTTTGTTAAAACTGCTCTTACGTACTAAATAAAAGGTGTAGAATAAGAAAATATAGGCCATTGCAGCGTTACGAGAACAGTCATGGAAGTAGGAGAAATTTTAACCATCATCAAAAATAGCTCAAAAATAAGAATCCAAAAAATATTTTTTTCTGAATCTACACAAAATTTTCTACAAATGCTGATATTTTCATAATTTTCTGGCTATGATTGTCATTTTTCTAAGGCCTTTGAAAATGTGTAGAAAATAGCCAAAAATGGGCATTTTTTCGAGTCATGAAAATTGCCAATTTTCGTCATGTCACCGATTTTTTTAAAACTGCTGTTATTTACTAATTAAAAGGCGTAGAATAAGAAAATATAGGCCATTGTAGGCTTACGAGAACAGTAATGGATGTAGGAGACGTTTGAACCATCATCAAAAAAAGCTCAAAAGAAGGGTCCAAAAAATAATTTTTTCGTAAGACCCAGATATCTAAAGCCTTTAAAAGTGTATATATTCTGAATTTACATGAAATTTCCTACAAACGATGAGATTATCATAATTACTATCATTCTAGTTTGTCAAAATTTTATGACTATTGAATATCTACTAAAAGCGATATTTTGCCATACCCCTGTTGACTTGACATTGTGACACACTATATCGAAAAACTTTAATAAAAATGTTTAAAATAATTAATAACAAAAATGTTTAAAATACTATAGTATCCTTTTTATTTCAGAGAGTGAATTATATGCCCGGTATGGTAAGTTTATTTATATTACGTTATAACGAGAATATATTGAAAAATAACAAAAAAACACAATTTTGGAATTATTAAAAGATAATTAAAATCACAACTAAGTTGTTTTCGATATATGCTCTTAAATATACAAAGTATTTATTAACCATACGGAAAGAAACCTTAAGGGATGTTGCTATAGTTGTTTTAAGAATTATGTATGCTTAATAAATTCTGTATAAAGGATGTTTAATTGTATAGATTAAAAGATTAAACTTACTATACTGTCATGATCGAAAAAAAATGGAGTCAAGTTGGTTTGGAAATGATGATCGCTTACACTCGTCACATAATTTTACATATACAGATCTTCATTTCCAAGCCCAAGCTGACTCCGTTTTCTCGATCGTATGGTATATATCAAATTGTATTGCAAAAAATTACGAAATTTTTTCGATATTAGTATGTATATGTTTTTTAATCCTTTGCTGGTCCTGTCCAGTTAACGGGAGATTTCAGCAACATTAGAAGAAATCTTCCATCAACTGGATTGGACCAACAAAGGATTAAAACCAGATGGAGAATATCTTAACTATCTACGATTCGCTGATGATGTAGTCCTAATTGTCAAGAGTCCTGAAGAAACACAAGCACAAATTAAAGAACTAAATACAGCCAGCAATAAAGAAGGTCTCAAAATGAATTTAGCAAAAACTAAAGTAATGAGTAGATACTAATGGAAGAAACTTAATCATATTGAAATCTAGAATGCCACTTTATCTAAAGAAGAAAATATGCTGGGAATAATCAAGAAAGATCGTAAATGAATAGAGTGGATACCATAAAAGACCCAGGTGGTAGATGTTATCCACAGTATCAAATCTCTCAAGTGGCAATGGGCAGGATACCTGGAAAGAAGGACGAACAACAGATGGTCCACAAAAATTACAACATAGTACCCACGCAGGAGGAATTAAGAGACCTAGAAGAAGACAAAACTTGAGATAGTACCATGATATCAGGAAATTAGCAGATTTAAAGGGACAACAATGGACTCAACTATAAAGAGAGTATCTAAATATGTGAGGGAGGCTACACCATAATTGGAAATGGTTGAACAAGCTGAAAATAACGATGATGATGATGTTTTGAAGGTTCTTTTTTACAGTTTTAAATCTTAAAATAAATTATAATAATAAAATTAATACAAAATAAATATGGTTGGACGTCTTTAAATTTTTATGGACAGTTGATAAAAAAAAGAATAAAAAAAAAATCCAGGAAACGAGTAAAAAATACATAAAGAAGAAGGAACGTATTGGAGTGACGAAAGGTTATAAAATTTCATTGTTGTATCTCTATATAAAGGGTATTGTTTCTCCAGCGAGAAAAAGAATCCAATCGTTAACCAATGGCAAATACGACGAGAAGCAGGACGCGGCGCGAATACAAATTTAGAGGAAGAAAATCAGTTACTAAGTGAAATCTCTTTATCTCACTCTTTCGACACATGTTACAGGGCCTAAAGACCGCACGGAAACATGAGAGGAGTGAAAATAAATATACCGTATCAACCGAAAAAAGCAATATTATCCACTATGTTTTTCTTTTCTATCACTTTCGCACTTCTATTTTCAACCCTTCTTAAACTCTACTAGTTTATCTCTATTTTTAATTTATTCTCTATTTAAAAAAAAAATAATAAAAATAAAAGTAGGGATGTGAAACTAATTAAAGTGAACAGATTTCAGAACGACACGTATTCATAAACTAATTTGACCTGGTATACGATATTAGTGACAGTGGTAGACATGAAAAGCGAAAAGCTATTTGTTTGGTGACAATCTCGTTAGTGGCATGTCCCAATCAGAACTGAAATCTATACGGGATTAGAAGACTATGAAACCATATTTCTAACAGGATTATGACAGCTTTGACATGTCGACGACTATTGCGTATATTACATCCGGTTTAATATGCAACGAATATTTTTTTTAATAAAAATATATTCAGATAATCAAAAGAGGTTTTAAAGATATTGGAGATATTTCAACAAATTACGAAAGAGATATTTCAACAAATTACGAAGAAAAAGACCAGAAATTATTTTATGCATGGCTTATCAAAATATTAACCGAATTACCCTATCGTCTAAGATGGATGTGGTGGAATAATTTATTCTTTATAAAAAGACTAAAAAAAATAAAAAGACATAAGTTACTAAGTACAAGATGTGTACAGGAAGCCTTCTGTGTCTTGAGATGTGGATGGAACATGCCATTAGGAGTATTGTTATACAGAAAACTCCTATTGAACAAGTTAACGACTCTTCCGGAAATAATATGAAGAAATTAGATTAAAAAGAGTCAATTAAACACTCCTGGGTGCAGTGCCAGAAAATCTACAAGGAGCCCTCCATGTTTTCAGAAGTGGATGGACTGAACATGTCATCAGGAGCACTGACATACCGAAAACTCCTCCTATTGAATTACACCTCACCAAATTAACGACTTTTCCAGCAAAAATATAAAGAATTTAGATTAAAAAACAGTTCTATTTTGTAGATTCGTTTTCTAATTTCCAACCCCTCACAAAAAAGGTAAAATACTCTGATACAATCTTTGGTAAAATATACTGTGTTATTTCCTTACATTATGAAAAAATAAGAGAAAATATAATCGAATTTTAATCTGTTCATGAAACACTTACTTATGTTTGTATTTATGATGCTTTGCAGTCACCTCTCATTTTCAAGTCCTTGCAGAAGTGGCCACTAGGAGCACCATCCTAAGTAATGAAATAAAAAAGCAAATAACTACATAGGTCAAAAAGTGTTTTAAGTTATGCAGGTCAAATTCACTTACATTTTCAACTAAGAAAAAAGTACATCCTATCCATATGATCCATGATGTTTATTTCAGCCCGAATACACCAGGATGAACTCGAAACCATAAATGAATATCTCGAAAGACATCGTTGTTGGCTGAAAAATAAAAAAATATATATTCGAAATTAGCTAAATTAATAAAGAAAATTTTCTAATTTACCACCATTTTTTCAATTATATAAATTTTCTGCTGTCGTTTCCGTTCTTCTGACCTCATCTAGGAACCTCGATCGTTTCATTCATGCTCTCTAATGATGTTCTTCCTTCTAAATCAGGAATTACATGATGAATAGTAATCTTCCCGACTTAAAGATCTTCAGATGTATATGCTGTATTATTGGTATCCATCATTTTCTTCTTCGCTGCCACTGTGATCTCTGTCATTTTCCCTGATAGAGAAATGAAAATTATTGACTTAGCGGTCTTTCTAGTTGATCAGAGAACTAAGATAACTAGCTGGGGTATTCTTGTTAAGGTTCAGCAGAAGTTGTAGACTATTTAGCCGTGTTTAACACGTTGCCCAGGGTGCACCACGAGGAGGCTAGTCTACTTTGCACCCCAAAATGACCATCAACAGGAAACGTACATCAAGAACTATATTAGAACAGCAAACCTTTTCACCATATAATATCAAAGAGACAAGTGATACTATAACTGTACCATGATAGTTGCCTTTTTATCCAAAAAATATTTAAGCAAAATATTTAATAATTAGATAATTGCATTTACTCTAAAAGAATAATTTTTACAAATTCTGGTAATATTTTCTTTTCTAATTAACAAGTAATTTAGACAGAAAAATGTACGTACTGAGAACAGTATAAATGGCATTATTTCAAGACCTAAATAAAAAGAAAAATATATAATTTTTTTGCAATGCAAAAAGAAGAACACTGTATTTTCAATTTGTTGTTCTCTCGGTTTTCCAGTGAACCAAAGTAACATGGGAGGATTGGGACCAGACAAAGACGCGAAAAAGAAGCACACGAGGCCTACCTTTTCGGGACAACAGATTTTTGCCCTCGAAAAAACCTTCGAACAGACGAAATACTTAGCCGGACCCGAAAGGGCCAAACTGGCATACGCCTTAGGAATGACAGAGTCACAAGTCAAGGTGAGTTTATTATAATTTTTTACAATTAAAAATATTTAAAAAGGGATTTACGTAAAGAACGAGTTTTATTTCTATTTATAACTTTGAAGGGTATCTATAATATCTTGCCACAGAATGAGTATTTATTGTTATAAACAAGTAATAAAAAAAATATTAAAATAAGAGAAAATAGAAGGGGGTAAATTTTGAGATCAAATCTCATTTGCATTGGTGGTAGAGTGCCGGAAAATCCCCTGTTTTCCTGGGAATTAATGAAAGTGGGGAAGGCCCCATATAGTGGAAAATCCGGCAGGAAGAAAATCTTTTGACAAGTGTAAATGTCCCCTTTTGTTACTCTCTAAATTTGCATTTTTATTGAATCTGCGGCAACGGAGATTTAAATGTAAGTCTGTGTGTCGACAAAAAATAATACTTCTAATATCGGGTCCCCGTTTGCAAACTTTGCTGATTCAATTTAGTCAATTTAATACGTAATCCATCAATTATAAGCCCATTATGCATTCCATAAGCTCAGGGGAGTTTAAGGGCATAAAACGATTATATTTTCTACGACAGTCGAATATATCGCGTAAAAAAACGATTCAGTGATACTGACCAAGAAATTTAACAAATATATACCTATTTAAGATCAAAATAAAGTTACCTAAACATGTAATTATGTACTTTGTGCCTCAAAATCAGTAATTTGCCCTAATTTTACTGAATATAACATGTGACCAGAGCTGTAACAAGTGAGTTTTAAAAAGACTTAAGTCATTTCTAAAATCAAAATGATTAAGTCTTTGACTTAAGTCATTTTATTTCAAGTTAAGTCATTTTTGTACAGACTTGAATCAATATAACCTTATTTAAGTGGTTTTTATGATTTAAGTCTATATTTTTGACTTAAATTATGATAATCTGCAAGTTAAGTCAGTAAAATGATTTAAATCAATATAATTACCCTCAAGTCAAGAGAACCAGAATTCAAATTTAAGTACCTACCTTATTTTATTTAATGTTTCCAGTTTTAAAACACAGGAAAGAGTTAAATTGCGGTCTGTAAGGGATAAGAGGTCGAAGGGGATTTAAATAAGGAGCCCTGGATTTGTGATTGTATCACTGCGGCTCGAATTATCGCCCTTCATTAAAGTAAACAGCCCTGGGAGACTTGCAAGAAGAAAAAAAAATAATCAGAACAAAGCTCTCCCCAGTTGCATCTCAGTTGCGCGAAGGCGAAACAAACCGTCGTAAAAGTTAGTTAAACGCCCTTTTTTCAGATTCCCGCCAGTTACCTTCATTACCTTTGGCTCGCCTGGCAAAATTAAAAATTAATTTTATCTTGTTACAAGTTTAATTAAATTAAAATATGAACGACTGGCGCAGCAGCGGGTGTCGAATTATATTTTCCAACTCTTTTTTTCTTATTCGCCCGCCGAGACGCGAAGATACAGAAAAATTCAAATTAAAAACTTCGTCCCCACTTTAAACTGGAAAATTACACCGTATTGCATTATCTCTTTTTATCGGACTAAATGAAGTACTTTTACGATTACTCGTTTTAATTGGATATTTTTTTTCCGACTCCCATTACATTGCGAACTTTAAAATACTAGAACCAACCCTTTACCAGTGGTAGCAGTATCTTAGAAATACGAGGGTTGTCTTTTATATTTTGTATATAAAAGCATAAAAACATAACTTTTAAACATTATAGTTTTTCGAAGTATTTCTCAAAGAGAAATGCAATTCTGCATCTGTTGGAACCATATTTGAAAGCAGTTCCTCTGGCTTATTGGTACCTTCAAAATTGTGTTTCTGACCGAATTCTGGCTCAAATTTGACATACGCCTCGTATCGTATTCATACGACTACAATGGGTTATATTTTCGTGTTCTATGCCTTTTAATTAGTAAATACTAGTATTTTTTTCTAATTAAATGCCGCCAATTTTAAGTTTTAGAGCCTGTGTATGGAAAAAAGTCAACCAAACTGTAGCTGTTAAAACAACGCAAGGAACTCCACAAGGTGGAGTAACCTCCCCTTTGCTGTGGAGCTTGGTGGTGGATGAACTACTAGATGAATTAACTCTAGCGGGAATACACTGCATTGGGTATGCAGATGACATAGTCATGATCGCTCGGGGGAAACATGAAGGCACCTTGTGTGATATTATCCAAAGAGGACTCCTATCACTGAGAGATGGTGTAGGACTGTCGGGCTGAGTATCAACTCAGACAAAACCGCGATAGTGCCATTCACCAGAAGGCGAAGTCTGAAAAACTTGAAAAGAATCCAACTAGATGGAAAGGAAATACTGCCAACACAGGAAGTTAAATACCTGGGAATAACCCTGGACAGTAAACTCCTGTGGAACAGGCATATTAAGAACACTACCAGCAAAGCCATAAAGGCTCTCATGATATGCAGAAGACTGGCGGGAAATAGATGGGGCTGCTCCCCTAACATTTTGCGCTGGATGTATACCATGATAGTAAGACCCATGATTACTTATGGAGCAGTTGCCTGGTACACAAAACTAGAGCAACGGACGGCAAGGCTAAACCTATGCAAAGTCCAGAGACTCAGACTCCAGAGACTCTGTGTTTGCATCACAGGAGCCATGAGAACCTGTCCAACAGCAGCAATGGAGGTTATTCTAGATCTAACACCACTGCACATTGTCATTGGTAGATTGCCAATGCGACAATGATTAGAATGGTCACTAACGGAATGAGTACTGGGAGAATTGTCAGATCAGGGGCTTGGAACACCCTCAAAAAGGAAATACTACTCCTGCAACTCCCAGTGGACGATATGCCAAGAACGTACAACTTTGACAAACATGTCAATGTAGTATTGAGCAATAAGAAGGATTGGAAGAGCGAAACGCTTGCCCAGCAGTTAAAAGACCATACCGACCATACCATAACTTGATATACTGATGCTTCCAAAACCAATACGGGAACAGGGATCGGAGTATTTGGGTCGAGAACTAAATATTCCGAACCAATGGGCACTTACCCTAGTATCCTACAGGCAGAAATCTACGCTATCAAAAGATGCGTACAACTTATCTTAGATAGGAACTATCGGAAACAAGAAATAGCCATCTTATCTGATAGTCAAGCAGCGTTAAAAGCGATCAACTCAGTCTCAATCAATTCGAAATTGCTCAAAGAATGCATAGAGAAGCTGAATAAATTAGGCAAAGAAAACAAAGTCCTCCTACACTGGGTGCCTGCTCACCAAGGGATAGAAGGCAATGAAAAAGCAAATAATCTAGCTAGGAAAGGAGCGAACACTCCACTAACTGGACCAGAACCGTTCTGCTTTCCAAGTGGTAACCAACTCAAGGCGGAACTCAAGAACTTGGAAGATTCCATCCGCAACCTGGAATGGAAATCTTGCAATGGTCTAGGACACTCGAAGAAGTTTCTGAGGGCTTATGATCAAGAAAAATCACAGATCTTCCTGGGTCTGAGTAAGAACAATCTTCGGATTGTCACGGGGTTTTAACAGGACACTGTCTCCTCAATGAACACCTCAGTAGATTGAAACTAAGAAGAAACGGCGAATGCAGATTCTGTGGGGAAGATGGTGAAACACCAGTACACCTCATCACTGAGTGCGCCGAGACGACAACCATTCGTGCCATGAATTTTGGTACGACTGATATTGGAGATGGAGAACTACCCTCTATAAAACCGTCCCAGATACTGGCTTTTGTCAAAGCCCTGGGACTGTATGATGAGTTATGATTCAAGAAAGGGGGACACAATGGATCTGTAAGGTCGAAGTGATTAACCCCCCTCCCACTCATTCTAAATTCTAAAAAAAATGGAAAAAAGTCGAAAAATTGTATATTTCTGACTAGATGATTGAGGCTTTTAAAAAAACAGCAATACAGTCATACAATTTTGAAATTCTCAGTATTCATAGAAAATTTTGTGTACTTTTAGTATCTGTAATCAGTGAAAGACGTAAATGTTTTAGTTTTATATAAAAATCGAAATTTTGTACCCTTGTTTTAATTTTGATTAAAATTTTTAAAAATTATTATTTTTTTAACTTTGAAAATGTAAAATATTATAGTATGGAAGTAAACCCTCACCACAGTGATCGAGGGGATTACTGTCAATAAAGAAATATTTACAATAATCCGAACATCACACAACGCATCATAATTCCTTACTATTTATTTTTACCCAGTGAATTATACGATTTAAATTTAATTAGAGTTGATTAATGGGCGCAATAATAATTGTTTTAATAAGCTTGATGGGGAATAATTAATTCGTTCACTAATTCCAGCGAGAATTAACAATAATGATCGTTATATCGACGTTGGCACAACGATGAATATTCATATTCAAAATAGTTTTTAGTTTTAATCTACACCACTCTTCATAATCAAACATCGAGACCATGCAGCTGAATATAAAATGTTTAAATGTTGGTTCAATTAACGCAGTGTCAAATTATTTCTTAATCTGTACTTAATAAAAGCGATCGTGCATGGGCTTCATTCATATTTTAATGCCGGGTTTAATCAAACAACCAGTTCCAAGTCGCGATCCTCTGAATTTGTCACGAATCACCATAATTAGATTAGTCCGAATCCATCTTTTTTTATGGCTTGTCCACAGCTTTGGGTCGTCTCGAATTGGTTTCGCCAAAGGGTTTAATATCAGTGGCGCAGAGGACACAAATTTGATTTTTTCTTTGTTAACAAAACACTAACAAAAACAAAAAAGAGACCCTTTATCTCAAAAGTGCGTCTTTTCTCGATAGACAATTCTAACCTTAAAAGCTTGCCATCTGAAATAGTGTTTACTGGTTTTGTAGTGTCACTGTCATTGAACTAGTGTGTAGTGTCACTTCTGAACTTAAAACCAACTCTGCCAACTGCCAATAAACGATCATCATTATCATTTTCAGCTTATTCAACCATTTCCAATTATGCTGTAGCCTCCCTTACATGTTGGCTATGCGGGCCCAAGTTATCCCTGCTAATTTCC